GCTCCTACTAGTTTTATTTATAATTCATAATTCGGTAACAATAACTTCAAAGTCTGTATTGGAGATTCGGTTCAATTTTGCTTCAGAGCTTCTGAAGTTGTCCAGGAATAAAAAAAAGACTCAATGCTGTGAAATATATGTATTCATCTATTATTGCTTGGAAATAAATTCAACATTACCGGAGATATGTAAAAATAACTGTCAGATGAAATATTGCAATCAAACAAATCTGGACAATTTCGAGAACTTGCGGGCTGCTTAAAAATGGTTTCGCTGTTGGCGGCAGTTTTATGATTGCTCCGCGATATAAAAATGATGGCATTTAGGATAAGTAACTGTTGGGTAGGCTGTTATCTTTGAAACACATCACAAAGGCCCTAAGGGATGTCACATCAAGGCCAATACTATATATTTTGCCATAAAATGTAGTGAAATTTGTTTATTTATTCACATATAGCATATTCTAAAACCACATTGCAGTAACATGGTTGGCTGAATTGCGCAATCTTATAAGCTCTATAGTCTATAGACACAAACAAAGTTACATTTTGAAAAATATAATAGCAAATACATCTTCCTTATCAAATAAAAAACATGATGGGTTTTACTTCAGATATGTTATGATTTTATTGATACAATAAACTGGAAATACTGTATGCTACATTTTTCAATGTCAGACCTTATATAATATATAGTTACAAAGAAAAGGACCAAATGACTTATTACCTTGTAACATTTGTATCTACAATGTCGAAAACTATAAACCATTTCTTACCTCAGCAAAGGATCCGTGTATAATGTTTGTTATCTTTTAAATCTTCAAGCTGCAAATCAAAAAACCAAAAACCAAACTGGCATTGCCTTATCAAAGAGAGTCATTGTTGAATTCCATTGCAGCTTTAGCTCCATTTTGGTTTGCCCGCAATTTACATGTAGGTGTTTATTGACGACTCAAGCAAAACAATAATCCTGGAAATAAAATCAAAACTTTCAATTTCTACAGGATATCTGCTCTTAGTTATGTGTAGTACATGTTGATGGAATAAATCATAAAATGTCTGGCAGCAAACTTGTTATTTCCGCAATGACTATAAATGGGTTGCTATCGTATACAAGGCAAAAGGTGGTTCTTAAGGGAAGAAGGCACCAGCTGGGTAAGATGATTCGGTATCTTTCCCATCTCTTCACTTACGTCTCCCAAATGGTGCTCTAAAATCAAGGTCATCTGCACACATCCAAGCTACAAACAGAAAATGCAATTAAGGGCTCTTAGAGATGCTTCTTTGGAAAGGCACAATCTGTGCAGCAATCTGAGACACCACTTAATTTTCACTTTCCCAAGGGCCCAGTTTTAAGGCTAGTTTGGCAGTGACTGTATAAAATCCCAATTTACAATTATGATGATATCTAGATGCTACAGATATTAAGTTAATTAGTTTACAGTAAATATATCAAGATGCCTAACAGTTGTCTACATTTTTATGGCCTGTATTATGTTTTGAAAACTAGGATAGTCTAATTTTCTCTTCACTGTTAAAAGAAATTACTAGGTAGAGACTTTAGAATTACGGGAAGTATTTTGGGGTTTTGTGGTCGGTCAAGTTCACCCCACTTCCTGTGTCTGACCTTTTGACCTCCTATCCAAACTAGTTAAAGAGGGTCTGCATGCCCTTTTTCGTTAACCGTTATGGGCTATTTTAATTTACCGTTAATCGTTGCCGGCCCGCTCTAATTCAACGTTAAGCGTTATCGGTATATTCTTCGTGAAGCGTTATTGGTCCTTTTAATTCAACGTAAAACGTTATTTGTCATCCTAAATTCAGCGTTAAGCGTTAATGAATAATTCTTCGTTACGCCTAATTTTGCCTTTCAAAGTGCAAGAAAATGCGCCAATGAAGGTTTAAAAATACAAATTTTCCCGGGGGAGAATGCCCCCGGACCCCCCTACATTGTTCGCGCTTTTGGAACTCGACTCAAGCTTCTGCGCTCGGTCCCTTCGGCTCTGAGCCAGAACCAGCTTTCCCGTCAATTTCCGGAAGTTTGCGGAGAGTTACAGAATTTTTTTAACGAATCCGTCAACCTTGACAGGCAAATTAACAAAAATCTTGAGTAAAAACATGTAAACATCAGAAGGACCGACAAACACTCTCAACACCATGATTTGCCTCTCAAAATGCTGGAAATTGCGTTTTTGAAGGCTTAAAAATCCTAAATTTCCCGGGGGAGCATCCCCCGGACCCCCTAGATTACGAGCGCCCTCTCAAAATCCTAAACTGAAAAAATGCAAGCTGGCCGACGTCGACTCGGACTCACCTTTATTTGTGGACGCACTCGGGGACCAGGGCAGGTGGGAAACACAGGGAACACATACCTTAAATGCATGCTTCATTACATGTACATTGTATTGTCAGTGATCACCTTTCTCACAAAGCAAGATACTAAATCCAGTGCAGCTCGAAAAAAAGCCTGTCAATTTACCGTTAAGCGTTGCCGACCGTCCTGAATTTACCGTTAAGCGTTATCGGCCCTGCTGAATTTTCCGTTAACCGTTGCCAGGACCCCCCCATGCAGACCCTCGTTAAACTGAAGCTTCAACAAGCTAATACGTAATATCAATAGAATTTCCATATTTGCACAGCCCATGATATTTCCCTTATGTTTATGATTAATTATGACAGTAGGGCCCCGCCCACGTGGGATGTTGCCAAATTCCCTTTCTGTTCCTGTCAATCACATAGGTTTGCCACAGTGTAACCACTCCCATAAATGTCTTGACCAATCAGAAAACAGTATACTTGATTACTGTAACACACAGTAAATGCAGTTACCTTTGCAGCAGTTTTATTCTGTGGTTTAATAGAGGGAAAGAGAAGTTTTTGCATTATATGGAATTTTCAGTTCAAGCAATTCTGTAGTACAGCAGAACTACATGTGTATAATATTAAAAAAAATGCCATTAAAAATAAAACCACTGTAAAAGTTTCAATATCTACAGTAGATCCTTATAATGACAATGACAATGATGTTTATTGTATGTATGACATAATTTTCACACAACACAAGGATGAAACTTCATCAAATCATTTTAACTTAAACTTTACTATACTAGACTTGTGCAGGACAGTGAAAATCAATTGTAAATTACTGTATCCAGGGCTTGAGTTTGAAAAAAGCGGCAAGTATTGAAAACACACAAATATTTCAGAATTTACAGTACACACATCTGCAAGTTGCATCTTTTACATAGTTTACATAATAGCTGATTACTCCAGTATGGGTTAGCAGGGTTCCCTCCTGAATAAACAACAGTGAGGGGAGAATTCCAGCCATGCTGTAATAAACCCACCGCTTTACAAAGCATTTCAAAGATGTGCTTCATTTTTAATTGTTGATACAGGCATGTAACTCAACTGCATCATCAGTTTGTATTTATTTACAGTACTGACTAATAGTGCATAGACAGGTAGCAACTACAAATTCCAAGTTTGGGAGGACTTGTTTGAACCATGAGGGCAAGGAAAAAAATCGTGTTTCCTGTTTCAGTCCTGAAAAAATTAGGGTCGGTAGGTAGGGATTATCTTTTTTTCTTAGACTTCAGTGAAATCTATATAGGGGTCCAACTTATACAATACAGTTTAACAAAGTAAAACTTGCATAGGGAGTCATTAGGGACACTATAACTTTCAATGTCAATGTTAGAAAACCAATTGTACAACGTTTTATCACTCAGGATCATGGAGCCAGAAAAGGTTGATCATCTCGAAAAAATTAATTATTTATGTCCCTTGCAGGGGTCCACCTCCAAAAAAAGTCTAGGGTCAGCAGGGTTTTTCTAGGGTCGGTCGGGAAACAGGAAACACAATATTTTTTTCCTTGGCCTGACTGAACACAAGTGCACTGCAAACAGTGCTGCAATAAGTGAATTTACAGTACCTCATCCCTGATTGGTTATCCTATTAAATGCCCTTAGGTCATATACTGGGTCATAGGGGTCATAGCGTTATGTGTATAGCATAAGTGCTGACAGGCAAACTACACCAGCATATGGAAACCTTTCAAGTCATTATCTGTGAGGACAGCTTACAGAACCATTATACACGCAACATAAACAACCAGTGACCTGTCCTGAAAATGCCATCATCACTTCCTTAGGTTATGGTCTGCTTGAAGTGAAAATAACTGAAACTAGAAATCAACGATATCATACCTCCACCAACAATTAGAGATTTTCTTCTTCTTCTTCCTTTAATGCCAGTGATCATGATAATGATCATTCTGGCATTACACTAATTTTCACCTGAGTGAAGTGAGGAAAGTAGAACAAACTTTGTTACAAAAGTTCCTTTCCCAAGGGCGTAAAGTCTGTGACATGGCAGGATTCGAACCCAGGACCTCTTGGTTCTGAGCCGAAAGCTCTGCCGTCGCACCACATACCCCACAAACATAATCAATTATGCAAATGATCTTCTGATTGACAATAAGTGTATTTCAGAATACTTTCTACTTGCTGGATTACATCAACCATCATAATTATGATTTAGCACAACTGAGTTGTGCTAAATCATATAGTAATTATGATGGTTGATTACTCTATGATCATAGGGGGTGTGTATGAAGTCACCATGATTGTGTATAAACAGTGAGGGAGTGATGAAAAAAAGTGTCAAATGAAACAAAGCTCGTGTGAAATGTGTCACCTCAAATGTAAACAACACGTGGGATGTATTGTTTGTGATACAGCAAGAACGACTACGTCATTTTCAACTTGAGAGCTTTGTACTTTAACTTGTAGTACAGTTCTTGAAGTTGAAGACACTTCACTGCTTGTATGTTTTTACTGTCTTTTTTTATTATGTGCCATAAATTATTTACGTATCATGCACTATAAAAATAAAGCCTACCGTACGTACTGGTAATTCTGCGTCAGGAAAAATGACATGGCGCTAGAACAAAACAGGAAGTGATCGTATCCTTTTCTTTTGTTTCCTTTTCTAACTCACCTTCGTTTCTTGGCCATTTTCTCCTTCTTGTCCATCATGTCGGGCACACAGTCCTTCAGCTCGGTCCAGTCGGCGTGCAGACCGCAGGACCAGCCGGTAGAGAAGCGGGAGAACAGCCAGATGTCCCGGTCGGTGCCTGGCCGGTAGCACTGGCACCTCTTCTGCCCCCGCCGGCACTGGCACGGTCTCTCCAAGTCCACGTTCTTCACCAAATGCCGGCCGAACGTCGTCCCTCCCGTCTTCTGCATGTGCAGGAAGACGATGACATCGTTTCCTGAGATGTTAAAGTCGACGTCCCTGTCGAGAGTCGACGGACGGAAGGTGTACTTTTTTCGTCGGGGTCCTTGAAGCAAGCGGTCCACAGCCCCCGCGTAGTCGGGCCGGTCGCCTCCGTAGCTTACGTAGCGGTCCGCCCGTGTCACACAAGAGTTCCCCGGGCACAAATACTGATAGGTCATCAGTCCGAACGCTAACAGTCCTAGCACAGCACCCACAGAGGCTTTTAACCACTGCTTTTCCGCCATCGCAGCACTGAGAGAGAGAAAATCACAGTCCTAAAACCTAGAGGCGTCCTAACAAAGTAAATCCGCTTCCGCCATGTTTACGAGTGACGTCATGGCGGAACTCGTGCACTGTGTATCCTGGGATATCCCGGGAACGAGAACAGGATCTGTTATGTAGTGACGGTCCGAATCGCTAGGTGGTACCAATGAGTAAGGGAGCAAGTCATGTGAAAATGGGGTCCAGTTTCTCTGAGCTACAATGTGATTTCTATGTGATACAATGATAAATAAGCTGGCAATTATAGAAAAAAACCTAAATTGCCAATAAGCACATTGTGTGGCTGCATATGCAATGGAAAATCTTGTAGGTGCATGGTCTCCTATTGCACGTAAACTTCTTCATGCTTTTGCCAATAAAATGCCCCAAAATCTTACACCGTAGAGATATCTATGGCCTTCATAACTGCCACTATCTACAAGAGGTCCATACATTATGTAGCAATGGACTTGGAGGGGCTGGTCACCATGTATAGTATTACGTTATTGAATGAATGAATGAAGACCTTTATTGTACATTTGTGTTCTACAGAACTAAGTACAGGTCGCATGGGTACAGAACATGAACATAAACATATACATTACAAATATACGAACATATAAGAGTGTAAATAAATGTCTAATTTCTATTCTTTTCGGCTTCATCTCGCTTGGTAGTGATTGTATGGATATATGCGGCTGTGAGATTACTTAGAGTAGGTTTATCAAAAGTTAAAAGGAATACAAATTTCTCTTTACTAGTCAAATAACTAAAGTGGGGAAATATATTTAATACATGGCTAAAAAATATGAGTCTATCTCTACTATACAAGGGGCAATCTATTGTGAAATGTATTTCATCTTCTATTCGGCCTAAACTGCAGAATTGACAGGTTCTTTGTTCTAGAGGAGTGCGGTTATGTCTTCCTGATTCGATTCGTAATTTGTTATTGAACGCGTTAGATGTGTTAAAGTAGTGTTACGTGTAGTAAGAATAAACAGCGGCAGTAGTTTGGCTTAGACCACATGAAGGTAAACACGAATCGATGCATTTGCTTTGCAAATTTTACCTTTCTAGTTATATATACATTTTTTCTTTCTTTTTATCTTCCAGGAGAACCATAATAGGTCTGCGATGTTACTAATGTGGGATCGGAGAGGTTGGAATTGCAAACCACAAGCATGATGATCATCGGCGGAGTGTGTCGGTCAGCCAGTCTGATCTTACTTGCTACAGTCGCTGTCGATGTCATCTTTTCAGCACCAACCCCAGCTGTAACAATCAAAACACCGGTTGCAGATGACATAGAAATCACCCTTCCACCCGATACAACACCAGGCAAAATCCCTCCAGCACAACTGCCAACTGACACACCAAGCAGATTCGATGGCTGTGTAGAAACTTCAACCGCAACCGTTGATTTCTCGGGGCCACCATTGACCAAGTATGAAACTACTGACACCTACCTAGTAGACGCGACCTCTACCGACTTGGACAGAATGCACACTGTGAGTTCAGAGAAGAGCCGCGGGGAGGATCCATCATCTGTTCCTTGCACGCAGGAATCTCGCGAGGAGGAAAACGACAAGGTAGGATTCTACAACCAAAAGAATCGCGTAGTCCACATCCTGATTGGGGCCGGCTTCGGGTTGTTGGCGTCAGTAGCCACCATTGTCTTCATCGTTTGTGCCGTGTGGATAGCGTCTCCGGCTGCGCCACCAGCCAACCCGATAGATGTGATAGTCGACCTCATTGATATACAAGCAGATCCCGGCCATCTGCGAGCCGACCCCAACCATCTGCGAACCGACGCCAACCATCTGCCAGCCGACCCCAACAATCTGCGAGCCGACTCCAACCATCTGCCAGCCGACCTCAACCATCTGCCAGCCGACCCCAACCATCTGCGAACCGACTCCAACCATGTGCGAGCCGACTCCAACCATCTGTCAGCCGACCCAAACCATCCGTCAGCCGACCCAAACCATCTGCCAGCCGACCCAAACTATCTGCCAGTCGACCAAAACCATCTGCCAACCGACCAAAACCATCTGCCAACCGATCCCAACCTGCTACGAACCGACCCAAATCATCTGCCAGCCGATTCCAACCATCTGCCGGTCGACCCCAATCATCTGCGAACCGACCCCAATCATCTGCCAGCCGATTCCAACCATCTGCCGGTCGACCCCAATCATCTGCGAACCGACCCCAACAATCTGCGAACCGACTCCAACCATCTGCCAGCCGACCCAAACCATCTGCCAGCCATCCCCAATCACCTCCGAACCGACTCCAACGATTTACAAGTCGACAATACCATTCTACAAGCAGCTCAAACTGCGACCGATATACAAGCAGACCCCACCTATCTACAACCAGATCCTACCGACATACAACCAGACACCACCGGCATACAACCAGATACCACCGGCATACAACCAGACACCACCGACATACAACCAGACGCCACCGACATACAACCAGACGCCACCGGCATACAACCAGGCACCACCGATCTTCAAGCCATCCACTTTCGAGCCGACTCCCCAGATCTACGAGCCGAAACCACCGATCTGCCTACAGACGACGAAGATCTCGTGTTCATTTCATTTTATCTGTCGTACTTGTAAATTGCCGACAGAGTTGGAGAACTTTTGTAGACTGCCCCTAGCTACGGCTTGTAGCTACGGGACTGAGTGAGTAGCACAGGCCCATGACATGCAATGTAAAGGCCTATATCCTGTCACACATTCAGAACCTCCCCCGACCCTCAACCAACCAAGGTCGAAGTTTGGGAGCAGTCTGACCATATGTGGGCCACGACTACCTTTCTTTGCGAATAGAATAGAGTTTGAGTTAAATTTGAGTCGAATTTGACTGTGAACACTGCTGACCTCCTGATCACCAGCCAAACATTGCCAAACTTCCAGACCACGCCCAAATGTTTTAAACATTTATAATATTTTATTTTTCGGCTGTATTTTTCGGCGTTGCAGTTCGTAATTTCATTATGTTGGGTATTACTGTACTTGTTTTGTTGCGTTGTTATCTTTGCATATCTGATATTGTGAAACGTGCATATAGAGATGTGTGGTGAATTCAGGCCGTTGGTATTTTGGGAATATTGTTGATTGAATTGTCAGTAAGTCCGATATTTGTTCTGTAATAGTCATTTCTGCTAGAAATAAGAAATAGTTGCAGCTTTTGTAAATAATTCTTGTATATGGGTTTGAACTGTAATTTGAAACAAAAAGAAGCTGTACTTGGATTGTCATTCGATGTGATCATATATATATGTCGTGAAGTCAAAACTGTCCCCATCACTGCCATATTTATTGAAGTTGATATTTTGTATTGAACTTGAAAATGACGTTGAATGTAAAAATCGTATAAATCGTTATGAAAACGTTAAGTTGAATCTGTCTTTGGGAAGTCCCTATTGCCACCATTAGATATGTATTGCCAACATACATTGAGAATGCGATATGACTAGGTATTAGAATGCAACAGAACACGAAGAAATCGTTATAATCATCCCATATATCAAGGCGAGTTGCCTACATTTCACATGGTGGGTGACCAAAAAAGTTAGATGGGCCCATCTAAAACGTGTTCTGTTAAAGAACATGAAGAAATGGAATGAATCTTTATTCCAAAACGTGCCCACCAATTGACATGTTTTGGAACAATACGTTTTTAGAATACAACAGCTAATAATATAGTATTTATGGGGCGAACCCCTAACGTTCGGGCACAAAGTAGTGCGGCACAAGGCAGTCCATACCAAAACATGTTTCGGAATAATCACAACACGTTTTGGAATACAACAGTCCGATCAAGTAGTGCGGCACTTGAAAAGCTACTGACATATTCTGTGCACGACATCAAGATAGAAACTGTGCTGAATGGTAGAGGAATGCGTCAGGTTTGTGGCCGTATAAGTTGAATTATGATGTTTGTTCGTTAATTCGCCGTAGACTGGCGCCTGGATATCTACTGTTAACTGTGCGTTGGCTGCAGTTTACATGACTCCCGCATGGCGACACATAAAAGATGGCTTTACTGACAACGGAGCGAGCCGACAAATGTAAGTCGATTTCTACATACTTTGTAGAGTGTACCCTGAAGAACCCAAACGTATTCATTTTTTCAATCTTACTTTACCATAAATTTCAATGCGTCGAACCTTCTCACTTTGGGTTCCCTATAACAATGTAAATACCGGTGCTATGCAACCTGGGAGTTTTTATCCCCGCCGCTATGCATCCTGGGAATGTGAAAACCTTGAATGGCACGATAGTTCCACGTGATTGTATGTTACTTGGAAGCGAATGCAAAATACGGAGAAATTTTTGTTTTCCAGTCCACGCGATTCTAGGAATTCCAATTGTGTTTCATATGTCTCGTGACGCATTTTAAGATGACAGGCATTGAGACTTATGGAAAATTCATCACTTGTAACCAACCATGAATACCAGTAGTCCACCCGTCTCTTCTAATTATATAGGTTATATAACGCAAACTATCGGCTGTCTGTCATGTCTGGAGCTCGCCCCAGCCCCCCTCCCCATCACCCAAGGCTTTTGGCCTATTTGTACTATTGCCCACGTCGATGATCTCTATAAAACCGCACTCAATGTGAATTAAACTTTCTGATTTAAATTTATCGCGTGTGACCTTGAATCATCAAGTTACGCGTCTTTCAATTGCATAGGTGCCGTACCAGGCAAAGTATCGGCTAACACAGCTGCCAATCATCCTTGGGAGCGTGCCGCGCAGCCATTAGCGTGGGATTTTGCAAAATTGTCCACGTCGGCGAACTCTAACCACGGTAAATCCCTCTCCAGAGCGGCTTGGGTTGTACAGCGGCTGAAAGGACATCAGTCAAGAGATTACACACCTAGCGGACCCCCGGAGGAACAATGCACACAGCATTCATATCGTCAGAAGATACAACAAATCCCTCTCGGATATCACACGGACGGCTGGAGATTGGAAACATGATAGGCGTCTAGACTGGGGTTAATTTTCCTCATATAGTTTATATAGTTTCACGCACACGTATCAGGTGTTAACGTCTGCGAATTGGCATAGATTAATTGCAGCGTGAACCAAGACGCGAAGAGGTATGCTGGCCCGGGTGTTAGAAATGCCCTCTATATTTTCATGAAAGACGCTCCGTGTGCGAAGCCCCTGTCACACATTCACAACCTTCCCCCGACGTCGACCACAAAACAACCAAGGTTGGCGGTATAGGTTGCATAGAAGTCTGACCAGATTTAGGCCACGTGTACCTTGCGATACGAGTCGAATCAAATTTGAGTTAAATAATTTGACTGCCAAACACATCCTAACCTGGCAACTGGTGACCCATTCCCAATGCAACCAGCCCACAAACATGGCCCAACCTCCCGTCCACACCGCAGCCGAACAGTAGCCAACCTCGCCGAACACCAGCCAGCCACAGCCAACCTTGCTCCCGACCAACTCCCAACCATGGTTCGAGGGAGTTCGACAGTGTGCGGAAGGCCATATTCGGCTATGTGTGAAAGCGATTGACTACAAGCTGGGTGAAGATGTGTCCTCTAAATGGTCGCTAGTCTTGAACATAACTCAAGTCAAGAGCTTTCTGATTTTTAATCTAAATTCTTTTGAAAACCTATCCAGTGAATTTCCTTGTGTATGTCATTACCAGGATAACCTTCATCGACGTACATTCCTTTGATAGTGTAGTGAAATAAAAAAATAGTTATCAATCTATAAAAGAGAGCAACTGAGACGAATATGACGCAGGTGTATATCTCCTGTCAAAGCGGGACCTTTACCGAATTTCAAAGAGCGGTTTCCAACTTTTCTTCCCACATATTCAAAAGCAACACAGATCGTGCTCTGTGCCTCAAACTCTTCAACATCACTCCTAGAGGTCGATAATGTCACGGCATGCGTGTTCACCCTGCTCTCTCAGAATCAATGAAAACACAAATGCTTCACTTGAAAGCCCTGTACACTTCTTTAAGTTTGCTCTGCTATTCAGCGGACCTTGAGGGTAGCGTGATATAAAAGTAGTCAGAAATTCGAACCTTTATGCTAGCCCTTAGAGACGCGTGCTATCTCAGTCAACCACACTTGCCTGGACCGTAGGCTAGAATTGGCAACCTTTCAAAACTCTCCACTCTAGAATGATTTGAGGGGAGAATTTGATCATAAAGAGACGAGAACCCTCTCTGCGTCACTCAGTGTCGGATCAGATGACACAGCCAGAAATGCAGGGATTGAACTACAATGGGCTTAGCTATGAACGATGCGTGTGTTTAGGATACTTTGTGATATTAGCTATAGGCATAACACATTGAAGTTCCATCTATGTATTTCCAATTCAAGCCATCTTCCTCCTAGCCTATTCGTCCTTTCTGCTTCAGGTCGAAAAATCTTTGCATATTTGCAAAAACTCCGGTTAGGCCCATGAAAGCTTTGAGAAAAACTCCGGTTAGGTCCACAAAAGCTTCGAGAAAAACTCCAGTTTATGCCCATGAAAGGTTTGAGAAAAGCATTGATTTCCTCAATTTTCCGATAAACCGAAGCTTCAAAGCAGGTTGTGTAATGATTGCCGTAAGTTCTCCGCTGCTCGGAGACTTGGACTTGCTCCAAAGACTAACATAAGGTCACAGCAAATAATTTTCATGGATGATATCAGCGCGCGCATTAATTTTCGCCAAATTTCGCAAAATTGGAAAATGTAGGAATCTTATTTATTGCCCACCTTGTTTGTTTTTGCCCCATCGCATTAATTTTTGGAATCTGCGGAGAATGTCATCCGTAAAATGTACTTGCTGTGGCCTAACTATGTGTTCTACTGCTGTGTACTTACATCGAACCGTTTGAGGTTGTCTGCTCATTAATGCGTACCCGTGAGTAAGGGTGACCGGAGGCAGGCTTCCCCGTGAGTGCACGTACGGTCTAAACTAATTACTAGTACTTTAATCACTGACCCCAAAAACCTTATATTAAAAGCCCTTGGTAATTGGAAGTAAGCCTTAGTAAGGGCATGCACGAATGGCAAGGTTCATTGGTTGTAACGGACTGCCGCATTAACTACAGTAAGCTACTGTGTAGTACTGTCAATTCGGTTAGCCTTGAACTATTTACGAGATACAAGTGAAACACTAGTTATACAAGGGCAACAAAACATTCAACTCTGCTGCAGTACCAAGGAATGCCGCCTGGGGGTCCAAAGTGTAACCATTTTTTTGTAGATATCAAGGCATTGGAATAGGAAATACTTCACAGAGTGGGTGATACAGATGGATTTGATCCATGCATTTCTGGAAGACAGTTATTTTATAGAGTGGCAAGGCCATGTTGATTTCATTATCCAGGCGCGCAGGGAGTTTCGTCCGTTTAAAAAAAATCGACCATACTGTAATTCCTACAAGGCATCTACAAAATGAGCAAATATATGCCCTAAATTGCAATAAAAAAATGGAAAACGATACTTAATATATGACATAGAATGTCAAAATCAATTCCAAAGAAAAATTCGCCACACCATACTCTATGTGTTGCGTCATTTGTTCAACCTTCATGACTATGTAGACTTCATAATCGGCCAAACGTTTTTTGTTTGCACGCT